TATTAAGTCCACAGTTTTGGTTGGAAATTTTGGTTCAATCTCAATTTGTTTGAAAATATCAACAGCTTCATCAAAATTTCCTCCAATAATTTTCTCACGCTCATCATTGACAATTTTGAAGGTTTTAAATTGAGAATGAGCCCAGTTATTTGTAATACTTTTGCATTTTTGAGCAAATTCAATGGCGGAGTTCATTGTTGAGATCATGATTGATAATTGAAACATTACAAAGCTCAAGACTCATCAGTGAAAGAGACTTCTCGCTGTTGGATAATTCAGTTTTCTAGGATTCAATTTTATTTTTTAAATTTATGATTTCTTGATTTGATTTTGAAAGATCAAGACGTAGATAATCAAACATTGTAGATTTTTCACTTTCAGAATAAGTTACAAACTTTTTAACTACAAGGATGAGGAATCTAAGTTCTGAAATTTTAAATCACTAGTAGCTTTAACAAGATCAGCTTCAAATGTACTTGAATTGCAGCTATTCTCATCAGTGACAAATTCGCCGGTAGTAACCATCAAACACACATCTTTCTTAATCTCTTCATCATATGGTTCTTCATCTTCAACCCATTCTTCTTCTTCAACAACAAGAACCTTTGACTCAAGGTTTTGCCTTTTCAGAATGGCAATCAAATGCTCGTACTTGGCTTCATAGGATTCATCCTTTGGACTATTCTTGATTTTGCAATCACGAGCAAAGTGATCAGTGCTTCCATAGTTTAAACACTTTCTATCATCTTTCTTGGAGTTACCAACGTCAAACCTTTTAGACACTGATGAGTTAGATTTAGCAGGAAACTTTCTTGCTCCGCGGGACCTTTTATTTTCAGACTTCTCGTAGTGCTTCACAATCATAGCATCTCTTGAATACAGCTCAACATTGTACTCATCCTCAGAATTAGTATTATTTGACTTGTCACTTTCACTTTCAGGGGCAAAACTTGACTTTTTGGTGAACAACGCAGAAGATCTTTCTTCGAAACTGTCCTTCATTATCTCTTTCCTCGTAACATTTGTTTCTTCAAAAAATTTCAAGTTTTCATACAGACTTTGAAAATCCATAGAATGAATTTTCTCACTGTTCTTCGGTATATCAACAGGATGTTCCCATTTGAAATCAAGAGAATCTAGAAACTTTACAACTAATACATACTCATGTTTGAAAATATCAAATCTTTTCATGTCATTAATTAAACAATTAAAACGACTGAAAGTTTGAGTAAGAGATTCATTCCTTTGAGTAAAGAAGTGCTCATACTTGCGATTTAGACTTTTTCCCTGGTGGCTTTGACTTCTTTGGTCCCTTCATATGCTACCGTCAGCGTATCGATCATCTTTTTGGTAGAGACATAGTGGTAGATATCATAAGGAAGAGAGTTGTCTATTGCAGCATGAGCTCGAACATCAAGACTATGCAGGCGCCTATCATCTTCACTAAACAGATGTTTAGGAGTTTTCTTAATAACACCAGTTTCACACCATCTTTTGTTTCATCAAAGGTGGGAACATGTGGACCTTTTTCGATAATGTCCATCATATCCTAATCCATGGTTTCAAGAATAACCATAACTTTGTTTTTCCACATGGTAAAGTTCTTCTCATCAAAAGTATGAATTTTGTTTCCAGAAGTGGTACAAGAGAAGATTTTAGAGTCGGAAGAAGAAGATGAAGATGAAGGTTTAGGTGGTGTTTGTTTTTTTAAAAATACCTCTTCAAACCTCTTAGTGCTGCGCGGCGCAGCACACGCGCAGCACTTTTAAGTTCGCAGCAGTTTGTTTTTTAAAAGACTTCGGGCTCCAAAACCTCTTCCCGTCCTCTTCCCCATACAGCATTGGGCTTGGCTCTTCTCACCTCTTCTAACCTAATAAACAAAAAAAACGCCCTAAAAAAAAAAAAAAAAAAAAAAAGAAACACGGAAGATCGCTCCAGCCGTTCTCCTTCTTCGTTCGTTCTCAGCTTTCTCTCGTCGATCGCCGACTCCAGCCGCTCGTCGGTCGCCGCTGCCTCTCGCCGGTCGCCACTGCTGCTGCCCGGAGCTCGTTCTTTGCTGCCATCCTCTTCAACATCTACAGGTTAGGTTTTTTTTTCTGATTTCTTATTTTAGTACCGATTTTATGTTGTGTAGTACCAAATTTCTGCTTTGAGTACCAATATTGTT